GGTGTATTTTCTCCATAAGAGGAAAGCTGACACAGCATTTGTGGCTGTAAAACATACAATCATATCCAGTGGGATTATATGATCGATAGAGAAAGGAAGCACCAGGGTCCAGTTTAATACCAAGAACTGCACACTGCAGACAAAACGTTCCTCCTGCTAGAGAATACTCCTGCTCTATTTGGTAATATCCGCTCTGTGACTGCTCGTATTTCTGCATATCATTCAGCTATTTCATTTATGTGAGTTACCTACTGTACCTAATTTGACATGGGTCTCTTTGAATGCCAGAGGAATGTCAAAAACAGCTTTTCAGTGACGTACCTTCAATTGAGTGTTACAACAAGTCAAGATCAGTTTGGGTGACATCATTCAGGAAAACACATTTTGAGTGGAGGGGATCTGTGACCTTGTGAAATGTGGCCAATGGGTCGCTTAGAGTTATGGTTACAGAAAGAAGACTGTGAATGTGGAATCACGTCTTCCTCAGAAAATCAACTATGGATAATTCAGTGTCAATAAAGGTTGGTTATTTCAATGAAACAAATTCAAGTTTGATTTTTTCTGAAGTGGGCTTATTAGCCTTCTCGCTAAAGTTAGATGAAAGGACTGATAACGCTCTGGGAGTTTTCCTACTTCACTTGCATGTGAAAATTAAAATGTTTGCATTTTTTTGTCTTTGTTCTGTAACAGCTTCTTGGCAGCAGCTGGATCACTGACCTGTCCTCACCTTGAGGTTTCCAGAAAAACATTCGGAGGCTGCAAGTTGCCAAAACATTGCCAGTTATTTTACGTAAGCGAACATCTTCATATCAAGAAGTGTCTCTGTGTGGATTACACAAATAAGATGCTGGTAAGTGATATTCAGAGGTGCTGGTAGAAGTGGAAATAAAGCCAGAGCTTCTGTTTCCAGCCAAACGCCTTCCGGCTCTGGGCACGGATACGAGAGAAGTATTGATCTTTTCATTTAACTCTCAGAAGATGGTGCATTTTGGAAAGGGTTGAACTATTCTTTTAACGGTTGGGTTCACCAAATTTACAAAATAATTATGTTTTCACTCAGCTCCAGTGATTTCGTTTTGGGTTTATGTGGTCAAGTCTTGAGATTTCTATTGCCAAAATAACTGCCAATACCACAACACAAAGGAGGTCCATTACAAGTGTCATGTTAGAGAGGCGTGTGGCTTAGTGGAGTAGTGCGTTGGTGTTCGGATCAGGGGGTTACAGGTTCAAACCCCACTGGAGTCAGCATGTCGTTGTGTCCCTGAGACCCACATTGCCCACAGTATTGAGTATGTAAGTTGCTTTGGATAAAAGTGTCTGTAATGTTATGCTCAAGGCATTTTCAAGGTACCAATACAATCAACAGAAATATGTCTTAATTCCAAACACTCTGGATACTAATCTACGAAACTCAATGTCTACGGGTTTCACTGGAATTACTGTCTACCAAACATTGATGACAATGTGAAAACCATATGTCTGGTTATTTAATTTAACTTAAAGCATCCGTGGCTTTCCAACAGTATGATATGATGAATTCACTATCTAAGTTTCTAATGTGGAAAGTGTTTTAAGTCTCCATCTTCAAGGACCTCTGAAGTGCTTTTCACTTAATAGATGCAATTATACTGCCTTATATAATGTACCGTGTAGATGAAAAGGCATGCCGTCTTATTCCATTATCTTTTCTTCACATTGAGTTCAGTAGCGGTATGGTGATGGAAAAGCACCCACAAATATTGGACTCTTTAGATCCTGAAGCATCCTGAAGGGAGCAGGCAGAGCAGCTACAGAGGTTTCATCTGCACACTGGTTGGGTTCAGTTCTGCTTACCTGCTTACTGTAAGTCTACAAATGTACGTACAGGCGGAAATATGTATAAGAGAATATGTGTGTGTATATATATAAGAACAAGGGTATGGCTATGTACATAAAATACGCCATCTGTTTGTACGACCTTTGAGAAAGCATTAATTGTATGAATTGAACAAAGCGGTATGACTGGAAGACATACAGATAATATATCCTTATCCCCCTTCGATGCATTTCACTGGTTTGTGTACTGGTTAGGGTTAGACATCTCTATTATTTATAATTGTTTTTGTCATCTAATTATATGATTTGTTTTGTTTCTTTATTGCGATTTGCCTATACTTTACTGTAAAACATGATTTTATGTTCTGAGTGAAGTGCATCTCTCGACAAACTAATTAGATACAAACGTGGTTTCATCTCCTTTTTGTAGTACAGTAGAAACTACCAGGATCTTTAAATAGATAGCACGGTAGCCAAAAAAGTGTTAATGCATGATCATAATATGAATGGCAAGGAATGGAAAAGCCTCACAGACCTGACTTTGCATTGAAAAGTGAAGCTGCTGAATGTGGATGGATCTAAGATATGTGCAGAAAGCCATAAAAGTATAATATGCTTCTAAAAAATCATCATAAACACTTTTTTGAGGGTGATAAGTCCATATATTTAAATGGTGAGGGCACCTGAGATCATCATCAATACTCTAAAGCTGTGTTATTTTCAGTGGCAGTGCATTTGTCCTCCTAGAGATACAGCCTTATTGTCGTATTCTTCCAATCTGCCTTCACCTGCTACCAGCTGGACTGGCACTTTGTACTTTCCCTCTCACATCTCAAACGCTTTGATCAGTTTCCCATCATTAATTTCCTTCTTTCTAGTGAAAAGAATTATTGACTGAAAAGCCTTTGCCTCCCCGCGGTGCTCCGAGATAGTCATTGTAATGAAATGAAAAGCAGAGCAGCTCCATTAACACCGGTACCTGCTCAGCCGGCACCATCTCCTACCTGTTGTTAAATGGCTTAATTGGATCTGAGATGGGGGGGAGGGGGGGAAGTGGGGAAAAAGCTTTTTCTAGACTTAGTGGGTAAAGTGTTTTCCCTGTGAGAATATTGTGAACAGTTGTTTGGCTTTGTCCTCGTGAGCTTGAAAATAACTGAGTGCTTTAGTATCATATTTATGTGTTATATATTGAGGCAAGCACCACTATCAAGTATCCTACCTATGTTCTGCACAATACATACAGTATATATATATCACATAGCATAGCTTAAATATTAATCATATAGTACTCTGTTTTGTATTCAAGTGCAGAATCAATTAGGGAGTGCAGCCTTGACAAACAGACCCACTCATTCTTTCAATGCGCCACTGGAAATAGATTATATCTTGTGGTTTCAAAGAGCTTTCACAGATAAAGTAAATGCATTGTGGGAATAAATGGATGGAAACTGGATTGTAAAAAGCACACAGACAACTGAGCGTTCAAACTGCACGGATTCTGTAGGATCCACAGTGATATTGGTGGCATCAGATGTATTTTGGTGCATGGTTAATCATGAAAAAGTCAAGTAAACACAATATGTCTGCTGAGTTTGTTTTAATGAACAACCAGCACGTTGTTTTCACCTTTACCTGTTACTGTAAATACATAACTCTGTTAGCAGACTAACATCTGGAATAATGACAGTCACCATAATATATTCTTACATTAATTGATGGAGGCACTATGTATACACTATACAAAACACTGTATTACAAGGAAAAATCCCATGTTTGAAATGTTGCTCAAATAAAAGTACATGTACTTTAAGTGAAAAGTAAAAGCGTTTAATGCAGAATAGTGACTTTGTGAGTGTTACACAAAGTCATATTGTTATGTTATTTTCAATATATAGCTAAAATAAACACTAATGGTGAGTTGAATGTGAAAAAAGCATCATTATTAGCATAAACCCATGATTTGTTTGTATAGTAAAGTATTATTAGTATAGTGAAGCAACACGGAAATAAAGATGTCAAATGATATTGCTTTGAAATGTTGAAGTGTTTTAAAAAATTGCACAATTACCTCATATTAGTATTTATGTGAGTAAAATATAAGTATTTAGTTACATTCTGTAGCTTGCAGTTAGTATTTATGGGGGGATTTGAATACTCTGATGTGTTGTTGTAAAAGTGTTTTTAAAATATATCTATAGGAATTCAGTTCTAGGATATTTATAGGCAGCAAAATATGTTTTCCCGGACCTACAGATAAGGCTGCTCTATATCCATCAACAGAGAGCTCCTCGCAGGATTTCAGGCAGTAAATCTGAGTCGTATCGATGGCAGAACTTAATCTGGCTTTACGATAGCTCTGACTCCATCTGCTGCACGATCGGGGCGATAAAAACAACAAAAAGAAACCCTAAATGTAATTCGCAAACCATCAAACAACACAATTAATGTCCAACCCCCTTTTGCGATGGAGCCTATAATACAGTGCCAAATGAGTCAGGCACAAAACTGAGGATAAAAAACAAAAGTATAATCCCTCTGCAGCTAACGGTGTCACTCAAGGATTAGCGTGGCAAGGAAAAAAATAACACACTAAGTACTACGCGGATGAATTAAAAGCTCTGGGCATCTTGGCGTGTCTCCAATCGTTGCAAACGCATTGATTGTATTACAGTGGGAAAGAAGTGACAGTAATCTGAACTTCACATCTCCTGATATAAAATTATTTGAGCCTACGGGACCTGGAGACAAGAAGGTGAAAAGCCTGAGGTTGCGATATATTCCCTGAGTTAAAGAGAGTGACCTGGCGGATTATTGGAGAGTTCGCAGATGACGAGGGTTAAACGAGCCAGAGGGGGGACGTCTTTCTAAAACACAAAGTCAACAACAAATAAAACATTTATTTACCTTTGTGTCCTGACGTTAACCATCCAGGAGTATAATCCAAGCGAGTTTAGAGGTGAAAAGACCCACAAACTAGTATTAATCTCCTTCAAATCCACAGTGTGTAATCTCCGATGTGTTTTAGAGAGGTGAAGTTTGCACCTAAAAACAGCCAAAAAGAGGGTTGTTAATCCCGTCCCAAAAATATCACCAGTGCACAGCAGAGTCGATATAGGAGGACGAAGGGGAAATGGGGCGATGTGGAGTTCAGCACCGGTACAGAAGACAGCTCCGGAGGCGCACTGATCTCACCTCGGCCACACTCGGGTCTCTTGTGCGCGAGGCAGGAGCCACCAGCCCCAACCTCACCTACCGGCTCAGTCCCGACCAGATTTACATACGAGGGGAGAGGGAGGGGCAGAGGGAGGAGAGAACCAATCACAAACGTCCCGTAGTAGGCAGTAGACACAACCAAACCAGGGCAGACTGACACCCGGAACGTGAGGCGTTTATGTACCAGAGCCAACCTGAACTTCACTAAAATTATAGATAGATAGATAGATAGATGGATGGATGGATAGATAGATAGATAGATGGATAGATAGATAGATAGATAGATAGATAGATAGATAGATAGATAGATAGATAGATGGATGGATAGATAGATGGATAGATAATTCATGCCAAATATTGTCTAGCAGCATTGTGTTCAAGCATTAAAATAATAATCATATTATTATTATTATTAATACAAATAATAATAATAATAAATACATTTTTATTTCCAAGCGCTTTATCAGGTGCTCAAAGAGACTCAAATAAAACAAGAAAGATACACAGTTTAATAAAAAATATTAAAACAACATTTAGCACAACGATTTAAAAGGTGGGATAAAGTATGAACATTATACAATTAAAATAAACATAAACAGCAAATATATAGATACAGTTTAAAACGACATATATCACAAATAATACACAACATCAGATATTCTGGATAAACCAATATACTACAGCAGCAGAATTAAGGACACATAGGATAGTATATAAATGAAATATCAATTGCGAGGGAGAGGAAAGACATTCATGCACATGCTTTACTGTTGAATGAAAAGATGCTGTATGCACGGTTTTATTCAGGAGTACCGTACCACACTGTGTTGTTACAGTATGACCTCCAGGGGGTCATCACGAGTGAGACTGACAGCTAAAAATCAATATTTTTCACAAGTACAATTTATTTTTTATGTTTCCTCACAACCTTTTTATTGATTGTTCTTAAATAGAACAGTTTTATAACACGATAACAAGGCCAAGTGCAAGCAAGAAAACGAAGATAGGACAAAAGCAGTACCCAGACAAAGGCAAAAGACACACACAATATAAAGAATAAGACCATATTATGTGTGTGTACAAATATTAAATGGAGTAAGTACACAAATAATAAAACAAAATTATAATGATAAAATGATAAAAAATAAATAAGCATTATATTTTAGAATATTATTTTATTATTAATGTAAATTGAATCTGTAAAGTAACAACATCTGTCAAAAAATATCTAATAGAGAGCAGTGAGTGTAAAATGAAAAACATAATATAGAAATACAAAGTACTTGCAAATAGTTCTCAAGTACAACTACCTTGAGAAAATGTACTTTTTGTTGTTGTTGTAAAGACTTCCTATTATCATCCAAAGCTCTTCAAATACAATTGAACAAAAACATCCAACTTTTTGTTATAAAGAACCAACCAGAAGAACATTTACCTTACACCATAGAATGAAACGCAATAAGAATAGAAACGCATTGAGTCAAATCGTATAACCTCAAACAAAGCCTGTCCTCGACAGCAGATTCTGAAAACAAACCATTTATTAGTTTGTTTCTATTTATTGAACATGTCAGATACAATATATTTTTTTGTAATAATAATAATAATAACAAAGTGCATGTGAACATACTTTAACATTTATAGCCCCCTTTGAGAACTTGCATGAGGTCCATGCTGTTTATGCTGCATGACTTTGTGCTACATTTGCTTCAAAAGTTGTATTTATCTTTTGCCAATGCAGCTATTTATGTATTTCATCATTACTTATTCATGTATTCATTTCTGTTTCGTCCATTGTTTCATCTAGTTTCCATTCACCATACACACTTGAAGCCATCAGATTATACATTGTTCTACAGGACGCCTTGCCTTATTGTAATTCGATGAAGAAGGTATCCCACCACTATACTATGCTTTGTATACCCGAACACTTCTTAACCAAGAGTCTGTCACTGCCCTTTTTCACTTGCTCCTGGAGAGGGCAGACCACATTTACCACAAAGGTCNTATGTGCAATAGGGAAAGTGCTGTACCTGTATGTTTCTTGTTTGTTTCTTTGCCATGTGATATGTGATCTCTGTTCTGTATCTATGACTGATTGACCTGAATGTTTTATGTTTATTTTCTCGATGCCCAAGACACATTTCTCCTAAGGGAGACAATAAAGCTCTATCTATCTATTATTATTTTTGCTAGTATCTTATAATCAGTATTCATTATAGTTAAATGTCTGTAATTATCTATATCAGTTTCATCGAGTCAAGACACCTTCATGAAATGAGTCCCCCATACAACCACTGCTGAGACCTTCATTAAACATAGAGGTCAGTAAGTTTCAAACATCATCAGATAATAGTTGAT